GAGAGAGAGAGAGAGAACATTACTCTTTAAGTAAAATTGAATTGATTTCTTTGAGCTGCTGGCGTATTTCATATACAGAACGACATTAAAACTCCCTTTCAACGTCTAGCCCCACTGAAGATACAAGCAAAACACTCTCTCTCTGACTATATATATATATATATATATATATATATATATATATAGAGAGAGAGAGAGAGAGATAGAGAGATAGAGAGAGAGGTGCTAATAAATTCATCATACAGTTATATACATTAACAATTAAAACAACGCAATTAATCAACAGTCTAAAAATTTATTATTAAAATGGTTTCTGTTAATTCCGATTAATAAGAATAAAATGGTATGGGAAACAATAGGAAATCAATTACCGATACTTTTCGAACTTCAAGCCACCTGCTTTAATAAAAATAACTGTGTAGTTGCTTTATTGTCACCTTGTATATATATATATATATATATATATATATATATATATATATATATATATATATATATATGTGTGTGTGTGTGTGTGTGTGTGTGTGTGTGTGTTGTCATAACTATAGGGTATAAAAATATTTTAAAAAATCTTTCAAAATTAAAATATACTTTATTTTAGGAATATTATCCGATTTGACATTGAATTAAAATAATTTGAAACAAATTTCTTCTGTTAGAAATGGTTGTAAAATAGAAAATATATCACCCCTCCACTCGGACGCGTTAACAATTTCGAATTTTCCCGGGGCTTAAAAGTGATGTCTGAACTGTTCCAGATCTGATATGACTGCAATACTCTAATTTTATCATATGTAAGTCTTGTAAATATTAAGCAGAGAACGCAGTTAATTTCTGGAATGGTACAATGAGGTAGCAATTTTTTTCCAGAATAAATCTATCATCCTACACCAAGACAGTGATCTAATTTATTATTCGGCTATAAAAGGGGTAATAGTAAGTACCTCCACAGATTTGCGATACCTAAGGATTAAAATGAGTTTTAAAAATGAAAAATCTTTCTTGAAGCTTTTATTTTAATTTTAATTTCAAACTCAGATATTAAAGTTTCAATATTTCCAATAAGCAAAATATTAATCCCCTGTATTTCAAAAACTAATTTAAAATGACTGGAAAGAGTTTTCGATTGAAAATTGCTGAAATTGTTGATTTTAGTGACATTTTCAACCATCTCACTAATTCTCTTTTTTGAAACATCTTCCAAAATATATTTTTCTGAAACATTATTTCAAGAATATTAGCTGATGTAAAGTTGAATTAAAATGATTTGAAACAAATATAATTGATTTTAAGTTTAAAATATCGCAGAAATGTATTTTTAAGACGACAATATCTGTTTATTAAAGTGTTGACATGTTGACAGCTTGAATGACAGGCGGAAATTTGTCTAATGTTTTTCTCCGGTGCTTATATCTGTAAAAATATTTAAGGAATATAAAGTGAACGCCCTTTTTAGATATAATTTTAGGTACTCAGTATTCTAAAAAATTTAGGAAAATACTCTCTGTAATCTAAAGTTTTATTGAATTTTAGAAATTTTACCTTTAAATTTACTATAGTCATAGCTATTATTTTTTGATAATGTCGTGTATGAACACCCATATCTACAAAAAAAAAAAGAAAAAAAAAGAACGTTATACACATACCAAAAAATTCAAATTTTCTTTCTAGATATACGGAGTTACTAAGTTTTAGTAAGCTTTTCGGTGCATAATTAGTAAATACAGTTATTTAATTAATATCAATGTCACTTAAAAGTTACAAATTATTACAGAATTTAAAAAAAATTATTAGTTTATAAATTATTTTAATTAAACTTGTTAAAAATGGAAACAATTCTTGTAAAAATTCATTATTCATCGAAACAGATTTTTCCTTAAGTCAATAATGCCCATAATCTTACTTCTTATAAAACGCAGATTGTGTGTGTGTGTGTGTGTGTGTGTGTGTGTGTGTGTGTGTGTGTGTGTGTACGTTTATATATTGGATCGGATTTTCTATCATTTTTCAACCAATTTCAACAAAACTTCACAGGACTACGTAAAATTACCTTGCGGTGGTTCTAACAGCACCAAATATGGGGAAAACACAATTGTTTTTGCACGAAATCAATTTGAAAACACGATTAAGAGTCATCGCGAAAATGAAAGGGGGACAACTCATATCGAGTTATACTTATTAATATCGAGTTATCGAGTTATACTTATTATAAAACCCAGGTTGTTTGTTTGTATGTGTGTGTGTGTGTGTGTGTGTGTGTGTTCATTTATATATGGGATCGGATTTCTTACATTTTTCAACCGATTTCAACAAAACTTCACTTTTTTTGGCAGGTAGTGTTTCTTATTGTCTTGCACACTTTTTTCTTTATTTTTTACATTCAGAATGCTTTAAAAATTCCATTTACGAGACAATTGTTTAAAATAAAATTCTATTCAATCGGTAGACTCATAATGATTGAAAACAATGTTTTTGTTTGAGTTTGACCAAAAAAAAAAAA